CTCAAATTTCATGGAGTAGTAGGCTTTGAAACCCTCGGGGGAAGTGATCACCGCTCCTCCGCCGCAGCCCCGCGCGCTCGAGGCCCCATCGGTGTACATCTCCCACCAATTGTCAAAGTCGTTGCTGTCATGGGATTCCTCCTCGGTGCGCGCGGTGCATTCCGCAATGAAGTCCGCCAGAGCCTGTCCTTTGATCGTCGGCCTCGGCTTGAAATCCACGTCGTACTGGCCGATCATCAAGGACCACTTGGTTATTCTCCCGCTTGCCATTGGATTCCTGAGGACTGTGGCGAGGGGCTGCGTCGTGTAGACGGTCACCGGGTGTGCTTGGAAATACGGCGCCAGGCGCTTGATGGATGCAATCAAGGCGAGGATCGTTTTCTCCATCAATGTATATCTCGTTTCGGGGCCGTTCAGCGCCTTACTCACAAAGTATATTGGCCGCTGAACGCCTTCAGACTCCTTTAGCAGCACGGCACTCACGGCCAGATCGGCTACTGCCAGATACATGTACAATCCCTCCCCGGGATTTGCTTTGGTGAGGACGAGCGGAGAGGAGAGATATGCTTTGAAATCTTCGAAAGCAGCCTGGCACTCCGGGGTCCATTGAAAGGGATTGGCCTTCTTCATGATCTGGAAAAAGGGAATCGCCTTATCAGCCAGCTTGGATAGGAACCTGCTCAGGGCTGCCAGGCGCCCGGTGAGCCGCTGCACGTCTTTTAGATTCTTTGGGGCTTCCATGTCCATAATTGCCTTCACCTTCTCCGGGTTAGGCTCGATCCCCCGCTCGCTCATCATGTAGCCGAGGAACTTGCCGCCCCTGACGGCGAAGGCACACTTCTTCGGATTGAGCCTCATGCTGGCCCTCTCCATGATGCTGAAGACCCTCTCCATATCCTGGATATGGTCCTCCTTTTTCTCACTCTTGATCAGGATGTCATCCACGTAAGCTTCCATTATTTTTCCAAGTACGTCCTTGAACAACATCCCAATCATCCTCTGAAAGGTAGCCATGGCGTTCCTCAGGCCGAACGGCATGACGATGTAGCAGTACACGCCGTCTGCCGTGACGAACGCCGTTTTTTTCGGCATCATCGGGGTGCATGAACACCTGATGGTAGCCCCTGAATGCGTCCATGAAGCTGAGCAGCTCGCAGCCTGCTGTCTCATCCACCAGCAGGTCGATCCTCGGAACAGGGTAAGGATCCATCGGACAAGCTTTATTAAGGTCCGAGTAATCGACGCACATCCGCCAAGTGTCGCCCTTCGGGGCTAGTACCACGTTGGCCAACCACTCCACGTGGATGACCGGCCGGATGTGTTTGATGCTGAGGAGAGTTGCTGTCTCCTTCCTGATGAAATAGCGTCGGTCGGCCGCCATGTACCTTTTCTTTTGTTGTACGGGCTTGGCATCCGACCGCACGGCGAGTCTATGGCATATGAGGTCGGGGGTCGATGCCCGGCATATCTTCCGGCCCTCTGGCGAACAGGATTCTGAACCTCCGGAGGACGGCTATGACCCCCGCCCTGATCTCCGGCTCTAGGTCTGCACCGATGGACACCTTCCTGTCCGCCGGGTCGTCGAGCTCGATTTCCTCCAGCAAGGTAGCTGGTTCCAGATGGGCATCCAAGTCGGCCTGTTTGGCCTTCTCGGAGATGCTGTTGACCCGAGCCTCCCGCTCGTTGAGCTTCTCCATGGCCTTCGTGTAGCAGGCCCTGGCCATATGCGGGTCCGTACGTGCTACCCCCACTCCAGTGTCGGTGGGGAACTTGATGCATGAGTGCCGTACGGAGCATATGGCCCCTAGGTCTTCCAAGCCGGGTCGGCCCAGAATGGCGTTGTGGGCGCACTTCAGGCGGACCACGACGAACGTCATTCCGATCCGGGCGGGTGTGAGGGCCGTCGCCGATTTCTACCGGCAAGGTGATGGTGCCCTCAGCGTCAATGCAATCCCCGGTGAAGCCGGACAGCGGGGTACGCAGAGGGTGCAGCATGTCCTTCCTGAGCTTCATTCCCTCGAAAGCCTCCCAGTAGAGGACGTTCACACTGCTCCCGGTATCAACAAGGACGCGGCGGACGATGGCATCGTTCACGTCCATGCTGATCACCAGCTCGTCCCTGTGCGGCGCTGGTGACATCGGCAGATCGGCGGGACCGAAGGTGATTGCCTCGATCTTGTTGCGCTTGGTGGGGGGTGCTGATACGGAACCCACATAGAGTGATCTCTCGAATTTTTTCCGTTCGGCGGGTGTATCCCCTGTCTCAGCGCCCCCGAAGATCACCTTGATCTCCAGCTTCTTCTTCTTGCCCTTCGGGCCAAGGGATCCCTCCGGACGTTTATCTGCACTCCGATAATCCACGTCCTGGGGTTCCGCCTCGCGCCGGTCGTCGCGGCGCCATGTCCTGTGCCTTGGGTTCGGCTTCTGCTGGCTGTTTCTGTTCAGCAGCTGGGTGAATTCGCCCAAGTACCCCTGGCGGATCAGCTCGTCGATTGCTTTCTTTAGTTGGCTGCAATTGTCCGTCAGGTGGCCGGTCCTCTGATGGTATTCACAGTAGGCCGTTTGGTCAAGCCCCATATGTTTCTTCATATCATGGGGTTCCGCCAGGAGGCCCTTATCCTTGATGGCCTCAAAGATCTGGCTCACTGGATAGGCCAATGGGACATAGCGGTCGTCCGGCCGTGCCTGAATATCCCCGGACGGAGCCTTCCAGGGCACCATTGCCCCGTCCGTCTTCTTCTTCTTGTTTGGGGGGGAGGGCCCGGCCCCCGGCCCGGGTCCGAGCCTGTCCGCCATCTTTCGTGGTTGGGCCGCGGGAACTCCGTCCCGCTGCCTGATCTCCTCCTCAATGGAGGCATACTTCTGGGCCCGAGCCAGAACCTCAGTGTAGCTGGTGCCGGGATTCCTCCTCAGGTCCCGGTATAGATCCCCCGTGGCCAGTGCACTGGTGAACATGTTGGTGGCCAGACGCTCGTCCAGATCGTCGACCTGCAGGACCTCGTCCCTCCACCTTACCAGGAACCTAGCCAGTGGTTCGTCCCGCCCTTGTTTGATGTGGGCGAGAGCCGTGACGTCCTTCCTGGGGGTGGTGCTGGCCGCGAACTGAGCCATGAACTGCCGGGAGAGCTGTTCGTATGAGTCAATGGTGCCCGGCCTCAACTGGCCGAACCATTCTTGCGCCGGCCCCCGGAGGGTGCTGAAGAATAATCTGCAGATGGCCTCGTCCGATGCCCCCAGCATGGACAGGTTCCCTTGGTAGCTAATCAGATGGGCCTTGGGGTCACCCGCCCCATTGTACACCAAATTGCCCGGGGGCCTGCAGTCCCGGGGAATCTCGACGGTCATCACCCGTGGAGTGAAGGGCGATGTGAGAGAGAAAGAGGGTGTGGCCGAGCCGACGTCCGTCCGTCTATTCATCTCGGCTATCTGTCGCTCCATTGCTTCCAGCCTTGCATCCTGTGCGGCCCTTCCGGGGGACACAGGGGGCGCGGTTTCGGGGACGGCATTCTGGTGAGCGGCCACAGCATCGTGCGGCCGCCTGAAGATCTGCGCACCTCGCCGTTGGAAACGTCGTCCAACGGCGTTGAACCTTGGGGTTTCGTCTCCCCGCGGGACTTGGCGGGGACACGACGGCGTGTGGGCCCTGGATGCAGCGATGCTGACCCTGGTTCGCCCTCCCGCTTCACGGGAGCCTGAACCTCCGCCTAGCCGCTCATGGATTGATGGTCGATGGTCGCTGGATCCCGTCGTATCATCGTACGACTGCATGCGGCGAATGGGAGAGAGGGGCGTTCGCTGGGTGCTTGCTGAGTACACCTGCTCCTGAGCCTCCCGTTCGTCTGCCAAACGGCGCATGGTGTCAGCGAGTTCCCGCATGAGGCGGGGATCCTGCCTGGCCTCGAGGGGAATGAGGTCAGTGATACCCCCGTTTCCCCCGGAGGTCCAGATCGTTGCGGACAGTTCCGAGTTCTGGCCGCGATTCCGGCGGCTTGACTCCAGACGTTCAGAGAGGTCGCGCTGGTTGTTGCTTCCTGACATCGTGTTTGGTGTAGGTAGATTTAGTAGCTGTTTGGGAGAGTTTCTGGAAACTTTTTGTTCAGTTTCCCACAGACGGCGCCAGTGTTGAGGTTTATTCCTTCAACCCTCAGGCCCAACACGTAAGCCCAAAGATTTCGAGTGGAGTGAGTGTATGGATATCTAGCCCAACAACCTTCAGATGGATCAGGAAACAAGAGAAATAGCAGGCAATGTAAATAGGTATTATTAACTTCGTAATAACTCCCCTAAGTACAATCTACTTGCTAAAAAGGCACGTCGGCCGTTCGTCTTACAAGGCAGTTAGAAATGCTACCCGTAAGAATGCTGAAGCTAGTATGCTAAGAATAGTAAGTTGCCAACCCCTTACAATGAAATAAATGCTTCTATTTATACCCACCAATGGGCAGGTGGCTGTGCCGACGTGGCAGCCTGTGGACCGCTGGTGCCCCAACTACCAAATCTTCAGCATTAAATGCACTTCCCTCCAGAATCTAGGCTTCCCGCCTAATTAGTGGGGACGTTCGTCCGCCCGGGAAGTGAGTTGGATCGCTCCAAGTGACCCTCGAGGGATACCGGCTGTTCGTCTCCTGGCCTTGATAGATACTCACCATGTGGACTGGGTTCCCACCGGTGACTATAGGCTTGCCATGGGGACGTTCGTCGTCATCCCTGGTGGCCCGTGGCCCTGCATAGACGTTCGACGGGATGAGCCGTTGGGCCTGGGAGCCCTCAGCCCGAGACGTTCGTCCCTCTGCAAGGAATATGGGCCTGCGGGCTAACCTTGTGCTCTTAACTGGACGTTCGTCTTGTAAAGAGGGGTAATGGGCCGGGCCTCGATTTGGACCATTAACCCAACAGATTCAATCCGTTTAACTGATTTCAATGTTATAAATGAGTACTAAATATACAAGTATCCCATAAAAAATCTGCCAAATTAAATGATTTAAAGTAATTGGGCCAAAAAAACGTAATTGGGCCAAAGTGTTTGTTCAGGTCCAATTCATCCGATCAACCATTATTCCACTGCTCATCTCTCAGGCAGGCAGACGGTCATCCAAAATGTTGCTCTCTCCGCTTCCATCTCCTCTTCCCTCGTTCCTCTAGTGTGTTGCCCAGGTTCGTTCATTATCTGTTCTTTCAATTAAACGATGAATAATTTTCTAAATTAAGTAATTGTAATAAGCTGTAACTTAATGACCAACTAATACGTTGACAGTGCTGCCTTCGCTCGGAGGAGAGCCCAAATCTGCAGATTAACTGCAAGCACGTGTTACATCATTCCGTGATGATGTCATATTGACTTCATCATTTTCAGGCGGGAACAGTTATCCCAGACAGTTATATATATAGAGAGAGATTATTGTACGTTGGTGAGGCCAAATTGAGTACTAAGTTGGAACTAAAATAAATAGATGAGGCTAAATTGAGTACGAAACTGTTTCTGGATTTATTGGGTGGGAAAATACCCTGATTTAGATCAGAATGTTCACAAGGACTAAATTGTGTCCAAATTTTATGGCCGCACAGCAAACCGAGTACAATAAGTAATTGATTATGGATTTGTATTGTAGGACTAAATGGGAAATGGCTCTAGATTTAACTAGCTGGAATGGCAGTGAGTTTAGCTATCTAACGTGATTTGCCATCTTAATGGCTGCCGCTGCCTTTTCCTAAAGTAGATATTCCATGTTCCAGAATTATTGTGAAGATGATCTTACTTTTTTATTGTTTTTTATTGTTCGTTCTCTTAGAGCATTTGGGTTGTTTTAAGAAACAAATTTTAGTCATGTTCTATTTGGTATTTTATTCTCGTATTTGGTTCAATTTGTATTGATTTGTTATGGTTCTATCGCTTTTTACATATTCAATGTATCGAATTTTATTTCGCTAATTTTAGTCATATTCTATTCGTTCACATTATCAGACATTCAGACACTAGAAAAAAATAGTGGTGAACTCAATATTGGCAGAAATAGGATAAACTGCAAGGATAAACTCAGCTCTTGTAATTTTATATTCAATTCAGAAAATTGATGTTAGGTGCTCTCTCAATAGTTCTGTATCATTACATTTCTTCTTTTTCAAGGAGGTTAGATCTTCAACAAAAATAATCAAAATAGTAATGACTCAATATGCTATCAGAAATGCACTGACATTGCTGAATCTTTTTTCACCTTTGTCTTTCCCAAATCATTTATGTTCTCAATTCTTTCTTTATTATGCATCTCTTGAGAATGTGAATTTATCAAAAGGTTTACTTTTTCCCTTTTCTGAAAACCTTTTAAGACTTCGTGTGCTTTTTTTAGAACATTCTTTTAACAATTCATTCCTAAAATTGATCTGCATATTTTGGAGTTAAGTGACACTCTTTTAGTAAAGTACTCCCTCCGTCCCGGAGACAAGTTCCCACTTTCCTTATTTGGATGTCCCAAAACAAACTTCCCATTTCCCTAAATGGAAAGTTATCCTACATCAAAACAATGCCAAACAGTGCAAAACAGTGCCAAACAGTGCAAAACAGTGCCAAACAGTGTCGAAATAGTGCCAAACAGTGTCGAAATAGTGCCAAACAATAAAATTTACCCCTCAATAACCTTATTTCCTTAAAATGTGTGAAAGTCAACCCGGGAACTTGTTCCCGGGACGGAGGGAGTAGTAAACAAACCTGACCTGCTTCATCTCTCATTATTGACCCTATTAATATAATGATGCATTATAAACACTTTTGGTGCATGTTCTGTATGTGCTAAAAAGTACTATGTATATCATTTTCTTCGCTTCTCCTCCACTGCAACAAATGAGTCCTCCATTTTCCTCACTTTTTCATCTGTCACATTATTAGAATTTTTGTTGTATCAGTTTCTTGATCCAAACCACACCAAGATTGATTACGTTCCGATTTCAAACTGTTTTATTTGTAGCAACACTTTTATGCTTTATAGCAGCAATCTTTTGCTATTACTGATATAGGATTAAAGTTTGGGTGGTCTTCTTCCCTCACAATAGTTATACGTAATACGCAATTTTTCATTGTTTAGCAATTAGCATGAAAACTTTCCTGTTTATTACGTGTATAAAACAAACTTCTTTATGGAAAATAACTTAATCCATCTAAAAAATAAAATTTTGATCACCATATAATTCATGTGTCAAAACTATATAAAAAATTCAACAAAGTATTTATCCACATTTTGTTTTCCGCACCCCCTCAATTTAGACTTTCAATATTGTATTTGAACTAACTTTTGGTGGGCTTATTGCCATGTTATATTGAGATTTCTGTTATTCATTCTACCTGAATATGTGAATCATCCAAGTTTATCCACCAATTTGAGGAATGGTTTCCAACTTTACCGCTATGCTATATTTAGCGATGTGCATTTGCATACGGTGCTTAATCACTGCCTGTTTTTAATTTGTTCCTAAGTGTGCATCTTCATTTAGTAGTTTTTTACTGGCAAAGATACATGTGTAGAGTTGTTGCATTGAATAATACTATTATACAAAATTATAATTTAAAGTTATTTTGAACACCCAAAAATTAGGTGGAAGATCCATCACAGCCTGTGCCCACCTTGTCACTGTGACACATTCAATCAGAAAACTGGGGCTTCGTAGGTGATCAGTTACACACAAGGTGTGGAGTATGGGCAAAGCTTCAAGGGATAAAAGGGTGCATCTTGTTTACTGCTCAAATTTCATTTGATTTTCACAATTTTCGTTCTTGATCACTGTGCTTCAATGTGTAAATAAACAAACTTTGCAGGACATTTATTATCGGAAAGCTAAAGAAGAAGGGTGGCGTGCAAGGAGTGCCTTTAAACTCCTTCAGATTGATGACGAGTTTAACATATTTGAAGGTTTTGTTTGAATATCCTGCAAAGAGCTGATAACTTTTAATTTAATCCCGTATTAAGTTGAATAAGTATATAGTGCTTATTTTTGTTTTGAGATGAAGATCTAAAAGAATGGGTTCATCACAACAACAACATCCAAGCCTTAATCCCAAAAGAATTTGGGGTCGACTATCATGTGATGTGACTAAGTGATACGATTGGCCATCACACGCCTACCACAACATTCCCTCCTTTATCCTGGATTGGGACAGACATGATACCAAAAAATGATCTCATGGCGGAGTTAAAAGAATGGGTTTATCACATTCTAGAATTACTAGGGACTACTAACTTGCGCGCTTCCTATGTAGATAATGAAATGACCAGGGAATTATTATCTTAGGCCAATTTATAATACAAAATACTGAAATTGTTGTTTTTGCACAGATGCATAAAGCATGTTTATGTAGTAATCCTACCAAAATTTCATTTCAATCTTATGTTCCCGATAAGAATAACATGCAATGATGCAAATGATTTTTATTTTCTTTAGTATCTCATTCTTAGCTCTCTGGCCTCATTGAAATTGTTATATTTCATCATTGTATTTATTAGTCGTAATGTCTTATGCTTATATACATCACAAGCTCTTATTCAGTCTGATGCTCTTATATTTGCAGGAGTTAAACATGTCGTGGATTTGTGTGCAGCTCCTGGTAGCTGGAGTCAGGTATCTAAAATTAGTAAAAAGAATAGGGTATGTTTGGATATAGGCATTTCAGCCTAAATGCCAAGCCGATATAACCTATAAACGCTGCACTTTTGTTGCGGATTGGGCCAGCGTTTCTAATCAACTGCCAAAAAACAAACGATGCCATTGTCTTTTTTAAGTTTTCATTTCTTATTAGTATTTGGATGCTGCTTTACTCTCAAAGGCTGCTTTATCCAAATAAACTTAATGTCTCTACATAATAATACCTCCATATAGGTTTTGAGCCGGAAGTTGTATCTCCCTGCAAAACTCTCCCAAGATTCAATGTAAGCGCACTGATTTGTTTTTCATTTATCTCTTTAATGTTCGTTGATTTTGTGTAGAGCCACTTCAACAAATAAGTATAGAAGCTTGAATGATATCATCATGTCAGGCATATTAATAGTTTAATACCATATTTGCTGTCATCAGATCCATGTTCCTACACCCCAAAACTCCTAGAGTCTAATGAGAAACCAATTTAACTTTTGTTATTGATTTCAGAGACAACATTCTACCACTTATTGTAGCCATCGATTTGCAGCCTATGGCTCCAATTGAAGGTGTGATTCAAGTACAAGGTGATATAACAAATGCCAGAACAGCTGAAGTGGTATGATTTTTCCGTTTTTTCTCTGATGTTTTTATTGAGAGTTTAGGTGGAAAAATGTGACTATTATTAAAAAAGAGTAAATGTGAAGTCCTAATTGTGCTGCTCATCCTGAACGTTGTTTTTAAATCTCGCTTCAGGTTATTAGACATTTTGATGGATGCAAAGCTGACCTGGTTGTCTGTGATGGTGCACCTGATGGTAAATATTACATATAAATCATAACTAATTTACTTCCTCCAAGGGTCTTGTTGGATGGAGGGTTCTGTAAGGGAAGGCTTTTTGGCAGGGTTTGATCCAAATCTTATAAATAGAATGTTTTGTAAATCAACTAAAGAATGATAAAAATGTTATATGACCACTAATTAAGTTTTTCCTTGACTATTGTATAAAATCTCAAACAGATAGTTATCTATCAGGATATAGACTTAACTCTACAAATCCCTCCCCTGACCCCTGCAAAATCCTCCATCTGAACTTACCCTAAGTTGTTAACTTCTACTGCTTCTTGTGATCATGATTCTCTGTCTAACTGTGTATCTTGCAGTTACTGGACTCCATGATATGGATGAATTTGTTCAGTCCCAACTTATATTGGCTGTGAGTGCCTAGCCTCCATCCCTTCCCTCCATCTATATCAAACTATGTCCGTTGTTTCATTGTTTTGGACTGCTTATCTTAGCGCACAATTTCTTTCATAAATGGCTTGCAGGGTTTGACCATAGTTACTCACATACTAAAACACGGCGGAAAGTTCATAGCCAAAATTTTTCGAGGAAAAGATACAAGCCTTCTTTATTGTCAGGTTACTTGCTTAAAAGTATAGTTGTAGGTTTTTTTGTACAAAATTGTATGGAAACACATAACTTGTGTATTCTTACTGTTTAACAATTTCTGCTTGTTATAACTTAGTTCAGACCAGTTTGTCTTATTTTCCCTTTTGATGCAGCTAAAACTTTTTTTCACTGAAGTTACTTTTGCTAAGCCCAAAAGCAGTCGCAATTCAAGTATTGGTATGTAGTAACTCCTTTGCCAGGCCTTTGGATTTGAGGGAGCAATGTAAATTTCTTATTTTAGAGTGTGTGATAGTATTAAGGACTGATTTTAGTATCTTAATGCAGTAATATAGCCTTATGGATCAGAATATATTACACGCTCTGCCCCTAAAAAAAGTCAAGTTTACAAGCTGTTTTTAGTCCCAAAAAGAAGAGTTCCATTTCATCAAAAGAAGCTAGTTTTAAGGGAAAATGTCTCTAAATGATACTAATTATTGGATATAAACCAAAACTAATCCTAACTGCAGAAATTACAAATTGATAGTTGAACTATTTACACCTTTAGCAGAAATGATTTCTTTTCAAGAGGTCAGTTATTTTTGTGTACTATATAATTACGTAGTACGAGTATATATTATAGTGCTTTCAAATCAGTTAATTAAAATCAGGAAAATTCCACCCTCCAAAAAATTGTGCCCCTCACAATGCACATGCATGTTTATATTTTACTACTTAACACCTTATTGTATTAAATTCAAAGAGATCTAACACATGTTATCACAAATGCAGAAGCATTTGCAGTCTGTGAGAACTATTGTCCACCTGATGGATTTAATGAGAAAGATTTGCATCGCCTTCTTGAAAAGGTTGGGAGTCCATCAGGCATGGAAGATTTAGGTAATATTTTCCCATGGCCTTTTTTCTTTTCCTCAGTTCTTAGTTCTCATGATTTTTCATATCCTTCATTCCTCAAACTCTTAAACAGAGTGCATTTTTTTCTTATGACTAGTGCTGCTGCCTGCTTCTTTCTTACCTTGTCTTTTGAAAGATTAACCTTCAGCTATAGATGATTATCCATTAAATATCTTAGGTCTCTAATGCTTGCTTCCATAGACTTGACCCCTTAATGACTTTTTTGCTGCAAATAAACATTTCAAGTACTCTGTAATTCTTATGACTTATGAGCATGTAGGCCCTTTTCTAGATTTCTAGCGTGGTGCTCCATGATATATATATATATATATATATATATATATAGCCATATAGGGGAAAGATCAAGTACAAAGTGTGCTTATTGTGCAAATATTTGTACGATGCACCTTGACGTTATTTGCATTGCATATTGAGGTTCAAAGTGTTGCATATTATATACTCATAAAATAGCAGTTGCACATTAACGTTCAACAAGTTGCACCCTAGAAAAGTTAGGTTTTATTACAAAAATGCCACCTTGCCTTTATATCCTTTAGATTAACTCATCGGATGACCAAGATAAGTTTGTACTTTGTAAATTAAGCATGATTTGTATTTGATCTCTATTCTATATATATATATATACACATATACATATATAGCGTAAATGATTTAAATGGTTATAAAGATTGAAAAGCGTACTATATTTTTAAATTTTTGTAATGCATATGCAAGGTCTCAATAAAAGATGATAAATTTTTGCTAATTAATCATAAAATGATTCAGCATGGAAATGTCATCCACATTAAAGTAATTTTTAATGACACTTTGGAGCTAACAAGTGACAACTTTTGTTTGGTTCATATGTTTCAGCCTTCTATGAACTAAACCACACTTCGAGGAGCTTTGTTGTTTCCCATCCTTCTTCACGCCCAGATAATATTTTAGGGCCAATTTGCAGTCTGCACTTGGAACAAACATGAGAAGCATATATGTGCCTAAAAATTTAAGGCCCACTTTCTACACACGAACAAAAATTAAGGGCATAAATTTGAACTTTCACTGTCATTTATGGCCCAAAATTATGTCCATACTAAATTGCAAACAAAAGTGCTTGTATTTTGAAAAAGTGTTTATTCTGCGCGTGTAAAGTGGTTAACTAACACACTTCTAATTTCTTCCCTACATGGCAGATTGTAGTAGTGGATGGCTGGAAGGACCGAACAAGGTGTATATACCATTTTTGGCTTGCGGGGACCTCAGTGGGTATGACTCGGACCGGTCATATCCCCTTCCCAGGAATGCAGATGGAAGTTATCAGAGTTTAGATCCTGTACAGCCTCCAATTGCTCCTCCCTACAAGAGGGCTCTTGAAATGAAGAAAGCTCAAAGTCAGGGTGTATGGGAACTTGATAAGCTTTCCCTTGGCCCATAAGCATTCTATGCACAAATAGTTATTTCAGATTGTGATCACTGGATTTGGACGTTTTATAGCTTATTATTGCCTTGTTGGGTATTGTTTGTATCTTGAACAATAGGGAATGATTGATACCAGTTTAATCATTGTAACTGGGATCTATGAACTTATGTAGTTGTGTTAATCTTATCTGCATTCTTGAGTTGGTTAGACAGAGGGTGTTACACGCTGTTTCTCTTGGTCTGGTTAGACCCATCAGCCAGTTGGGTTTGGTTCTTGCTTGTCCAAAACAAAAACAAAAATCTAAAAGATAAGGGTCTGTTTACTAATAGAGATATTTTCCTGTTTTCTACTTATGTTTTCCGTTATCCAATTTTCTGTTTTTGTTTTTCAGTTTTTCTATTTCCAATTTTCTGTTTTTATTTTTTAGTTTTCCATTTTCAAATCTTAAAATATGTTCATCAATTTTTTCACTCAATTCTTCAATTCCACACCCTTGACCCCTACCTTTATCACAATTCGGGGTAGAGAAGTTATAGGTGGGGGTGGGGGTGGGGTAAGGGGTATGGTCGGGGGTGGGGTAAGGGGTATGGTCGGGGTGGGGTGGTAAGGTCTAGGGGTAGGGGGTTGGGTGGGTTAGGATCGTGGTTGGGGATAAGGGTGGGGTAGTGGGTAGGGTTTGGGGTAAGGTAGAGGTAGGGTATGGAGTTGGGATAGGATGGCGGTAGGGTGGGGCTGGGACCAGGGTGGGGCCGTGGTAGGGAAGGGGTAGGGGGTGGGGTGTAGGATGGTGGTAAGGGTGGGGGTAATGGGTAGGGCTGGGGTTGGGTAAGGTAGGGGTAGTGGGATAGAATGGCGGTAGAGTGGGCCCGGGATTTGGGTGGGTCCGAGGTAGGGGAAGGGTAGGGTGGAGGGTAGGATGGCGTTACGAGGGTGGGGTAGGATGTCGGTGGGGTGGGGCCGAGGTAGGGACATGCGGTAGGGGGTGGGGGGTAGGGTCATTATAGGGAAAAATGGGTATGCGGGGTGGGGTTTGGTGGGTAAGGTAGGGTAGGGTAGGGGTAAGGGGTAAGGTTCGAGGATGGAGGTACCAGAATGGAATCGACATCAGAGCAGGACCGGATCCACCATTAGGTGTAAGTATGCAAATTCATTGCAGCGGCACTATAGCATCTGCGTTTTCCAAATTTAGAAAACTAGTAAAAGTAACTTCTTCAAATCATTAAGGAAAAGAGAGACATGTCTCATTTTTTCCGTTTTGGAAAACGATTTGGTAAACACGTTTTTCTTTTTTCTTTTCTCCAGTTTTCCAAGAATTTCTTTGGTAAACACGTTTCCTGTTTTTTGTTTTCCAGTTTTCCAATTTTCTGGAAAACTGGAAAATATCTCTAGCCCTAAAAGTTTCACCAATACGGTTAAAGTTAATTTAATTCATAAGACTTTCCATTCACTGTTGCACTTATATGGATTTTATATAATCTCAAACTAAGACGGGCAAATCCTTCAAAAAAAAAACCACTACTTCAGCGTGATCATCTATGCATACAAATTAAAGATAAAAATAGTTTTTGAAAATTATTATTGCAATTAGTAAATTTTATGATCTAAGAGGTCAAACTTTAGCCTACTATCTTTATTTTAATTATTTTAAAAGTAAAACATAATGTGTGATCGGATTGAGATTTAATGGACATATGCCTCAGTGAAAATGGGGCAATCATGGCTTATCTAAAAATTGTGGAGCATAAAAAATCTAGTGTAGAGCGTAGGGCGGTAGAGGGAACATTTTCTCAAAAGCAAACTAAAGAAGAAGAGAATGGTCATCACTCATCATTTCATTTCTTGTCGTTTTGTCGCCATAGTCTTCTCTTCTTTCCCTTTCACCATCTCCCTTAATTCATTCTCTAGCGTCGCACTCCTTTTCACTTGGAGGCCCACAATTACTTTCTCCTTTTTTGACCAAATCTATCGTTCTTGTTGAATGCTATAAATCTCCAAACTAATCTACAAGTATAATATTTCCTTCAAATAGGAGGAAACTAATCTCCAAATTTCCTTCAAATTTGGACTGAAATTTGTTTATTTGATCTGGTCTGGTAAACGTATGGTCTCTGTGTAGTTTGTTACTACGGAAGAGTGATCTGGTCTGATCTGGTCTCGTCTGGGACTAAAAACAACCCAAAAGAAAACATCCTAATATACGTAGTAATCATTAATGTGTTTTCTTCTGTTCCAAATTTTACTTCTCTAACTAATAGGCTATATTAGTTGATTCTGCTGAAATTTATAAAGTTTTGGTTGAAGTGACTGGATTAACTAATTCCGCTGATTCATGAAAAATTTATATTTAAAATACATGTTATTAATAAAATAAAGAAAAGGTTATATAAAAAACAACTAAAATGATCTTCTACACTAACTTTAGTCAATAGAGCCAGAAAAGTAACTATAAATTTATCTTTTCTTAGTATTACACAATTCAACACGTGAAATCAATAGATACGTGTTTGATGAAAAAGTTCGCTAATAAGTCTGATAATCTGAAAAACAGGATTATCAAGCGGACTCGATCTAGCTATCTGAGTTGCTCATGTGGGCAAAGTATTTCCTCAATTCTATTGGACATTACCAAGTTTTCTTTCTTACTTGTCACACAAACTTTGTCATTTTACACTTAGTAAATATAATGTATATTGGACATTACCAAGTTTTCTTTCTTGCTTGTCACACAAACTTTGTCATTTTACACTTGGTAAATATAATGTAAACCTGCTTTTTATCATATTCTCTGCAACTTTTTCCCCCGAAAACAAACAATCCAATTGATATGTATTTTTTTGTGCAACCTTATGATTGCAACCCACGCATGTTTAATTTTATCCATCTTTGGGGAAATCGAGTGCAATCATGTATTCATATTTATGCACACAGCTAGGGGCGGAGCTAGAGGGGTGGCCAACCGGGCCACGGCCCGCTCCAAATTTGAAAATTCTTTGTATTTTTAGTCTAAAAATTCATGTGAAAAAAAAATTATCTGAAAAATTTTATATACCGACCCAGTCCAACCTTCAATCCTAGCTACACCCCTGCACACAACCGTCGTTAAATTAGTTTAAATTATTGAAGGCGATTAACACATTATTAGTCACTCTTGTTGTAACATGACTAACATCAAAGCACATTTTACGATGTTTTTTTAAAAAGGAAACACTTTACAATAGTATAATAATGTACTAACAGTCTAATACTAATCATGGAAGTAAATGGTTAATTGGTTACCACTTATCACGCACATATAAATATAATAATGTGGCATTAATCATGACATTGTTGCTTTTCCGTATAGTGCCTACCAGTACTTATGGATATGCTACACATTACAAAAGAAAACGGTATTGATCGAAATTTGGAATAAATTATTGACGTCCTCGTGATTAATAACTTGTGATAAATAAAAATGACATTGACATGGAATTGATGTATTTCTGGCAAATTCTTATGTATTTTGATGGAAATATCAACCAAATAGAAGGAGTAATTCAGATCTTAATATAACAATTAATTCCTTCACATATTTTCGGTGTGGGAATTGAACAGAATCACTACCAAAACTCAGTGTCAATCCGGTTATTTTTGTTGTTGTGATGCATTAAGAGTTTAAGACAACTATATTTATTCTAGATACGGAGTATTTATCAAAGTAACGAAACCATTTGTCAGGGATTATCTTCAGGGGCGAGCAACGAGCTGGAGCTCATGGTCGTCTGATCGAGCATATACGTGTATAGAACACACTCAGCTCACTGACTCACACACAGAGGTTGAAGCACATATTAAAGGCTCGCCACCATCATATATTTGGTGAATTAGTTCGTAATTTGTATTCATCAGGTTTTCCCTCAAGATTTTATTTTTTAAAAATATTACCTAAACATAATTTACTTATCCAAATAAAACTAATAGTTATTATAATAGTGTCATGATAACTTACATTTGGAAATTGAACATAAGTCACTATAATTTTAAGGCTGCTAGAATCATATATTTGGTTAATTAGTTGGTGTTTGTATCCATTGCATGACGTTTTCTCTCAAGGTTTCTTTCATAAATATTACTAGAATAAAATTTATTTATACAAATATGACTAATAGTTACTACGTAGTATAATATAGTGTCAAGGTAACCTAGACCCCGTTTGGTAGTACGAAAATCGGTTGTTTTGGCTAATTCTGCTGAAATTTATGAAGTTCTGACTGAAGTGATTGTATTGACTGATTCTGCTCATTTAAGAAAAAATTATTTTTAAAATATATTTTATTAATAAAATAAAGAATATATTTTTAGATACTCAATTTTAGGTTCAATAGTTCAACTTCGTCTAGAAGGCTTTACGTAAAAGTCAAAATTGAAATTGAATTACGGGGAATGATGTAGAGAGAGTACTGTATTATTCATGTATACCGCTGTCTCGTGTCTTCATACGGCCGCCCTACTTCCATGGCGCCTGCATAGCTCGAAATTAGTTTTTAAAATTACGAGCCCCTTTGGTAGCATGAAAATCGGTTGTTTTTGCTGAAATTTATGAAGTTCTGGCTGAAGTGGCTATTTTGGCTGATTCTGCTGATTCTAGAAAAAAATATTTTAAAAATATATTTTATTAATAAAATAAAGAAAAAATTACATGTAAAAATAGCTAAAATGGTCATCTACAGTAACTTCAGCCAATACAGCCAGAAAAGTAACTTCAACCTTACTTTTTCTGCTTATTACACAATTCAGCACGCGAAAGTAAAAATTACGTGTTTGGTGAAAAAGCTGGCTGGTATGCCTGATAAGCCGAAAAAAGGGGTCTCCAAACGGGCTCTACAATTACTCATGGATTTATTTATAAAAATTAAAGTAAAATGTGTATTAATTAGTATCAACCGGATATGAAATGAATTCGGGTATAACTTCCAAACAAACACAACTATTATAAGTTGAATGAGATAGTTGGATTGAGCCATTGAGGTATGAAATTACACTCTCGGCAATGACCATTTTACGAGTTCATCTAATATGGTAGCCTTTTGTGCACACCAAACATTGGACTTCATCTTTTATAAATTGTTTGAATTGAATCATATGGTGATTTATCTCTCCCGGTGTATTGAACCATGTATCAAGACTTCTGAAGTCGATGCTTCCATTTTTGGTACTGAATTGCACATTCGGTTTGATAGAATTTGCTTATCAAGTGAGCTTATGATATAACCAGAAATTAGACATAAAGTAGTCATTTTCATTTCAACTAATGACATTTTA